AGCGGAAATTTTGAAGTCCAAAAGCAGGGGAGCAGCAGCGATGAGGGGAGCAGCGGCGATGAGGGAGCAGCACCTGGGAGGCGAGCATGGCGAGGGAGTGCAGGTCCGGCAGAGGGGCGTGCGCAGCTGCTCGAGGTGCCTCACCAGCGGAGAGCCCTCTGCACCGCTTCCGACCATTGCTGCAGAGACAGGCGAATAGGCAGGGCGGAAGGGAGGGGGGACGGAGAGGGTTGGTTGTGTGTCTGTGGATGGGAAAACGTGATAAGCCCAAGGTAAGGTAGGGAGCGGTGGTGTGCATTATGCTTATACCTTGGTGGCAAAACGACCCTAATTACCGCTGTAGGTGGCACACCTGGGCGGTTTGAAGACGCACCTGGGCGGCGAGGAGAGCGTCCCTGAGTTTGGCAGCTGCGGGGATGTCAACTGTGGCTCTTGCTGCCTCCGCTTGCAGCGTGTGTAGTAATGCCTTGGCCTGGGCGGGGGGGTGGAGGGCACGCAGGGTGATGTGGGAGCACGCAGGGTGATGTGGGAGCACGGGGCTCAGGGTTGATGAAGGTTGTTAAGAGGCTGCCGCGGTGGGCACACTCTTGAGAAGTACAACGACGCAAAGCATTCGGAGCGGAGAAGAGGGTGAAAGGACGCCGTGGGCTGGAAGAGGGGAAAGGACGCCGCGGGCTGGAAGAGGGAAGCGCTTTGGTAAGCAGTGGCTTGGCAACAGTGCGCACCTCGAGTGGCGGCTTTGGCGTGGAGAGCCAGGCGAATGCGCTGGTCGAGGTCAAGCGCGTCCCGGTACAGCAGCTGGGGGGGGGGGGACGGACGGCGGATAAATATGCGAGCAAGGGGACAGGGAAGCGAAGACGGAGAGAGTTGGCTGCCAATATCTTTATATTTCACACGTGCAAGCACAGCAGATTCAACACCACCAACCAGTAGACCCTCTCACAATCCACCCCTGGCCTGCATGCACCTTGAGCGTCTTGAAGTGCGGCTCGATGCACGGCACCTCACTCGCCGCCGCCTCCAGCAGCCGCTGCATCTCGTACAGCCCCCTGCGCGCCCGCCCCCACCCACACGGCTTCCCGGCCCACTTGCTGCGTGGCTTGGAGCAGCAGCCACAGCCCCAGCAGCCTCGGCAGGGGCAGGTGACGGCTGCAGGGAGAGGAGGGGGTCCTTGGAGGAGCAGCCGACCAATGGGGGCGCGCCAGCTGGCAGGGGTGGCCGCAGCAGGCTGCGACCTCCTGCGCCCACGTGAGAGCTGCCAGTGCCTTGTCGTACACGCGCGGGCCTGGGGTGGAGGGGGAGGAGAGGTGTGGCGGGAGTTACAGAGAGTGTGGAACAACAGCGACAGGAGAAGCCAAGCAGCGCGAATGCAGCAAGCAGATGGGGATGCGGCTGATTGGCTCACAGCGCCCGCCCCATGGGAGGAAAGGGGAACAACGAGAAGTGGAAAAAATGGAGGCAGGGGCGCAGGGTTGAGTTGCAGTGACTCACAGCATCGACCTCGTGGCCGGCCCACAGGAACTCCTGCGCCTCCCGCAGAATGCCCGCTGCCGTCTCCACCGTGCGGCGACCGCAACACCACCTTGCCCCGCGACGCCACTGCGCCGCCCACTCGCGGTGCGTCATCAGCCGGCCCCGCACCCGGCGCTGCTGTGCCTCCCACCCGTGGGTGCCGGCGCGCCTCGCCTGGAAAACTCCTCCGCCTGCACCACGCGGCCCTCGCCCCTGCTGCCACGCCCCTCAGCCACGCCCCATCTCTGCCTCTGCATTTCTCCGCCCCTCTGCTGCTCCCCTCCCGCCTGCCTCCCATTACCCCCCCCACCCTGTCGCTGTCCGCTGCCCGCGCTGCTCGCCTCCTCCTTAACGCTCTCCACGGCTTCTGCTGCGGCGGCGGCAGCAGCGGCGCGTCGGCTGCTTCGCCTGACAACGCTGGCGTCTTCCTCACACAGCCCGGCCATCTCCACTTCCTTCCCTCCCTCCTGTGCTTCTCCACCTCCCTCCTTGCCCGCCGCAGTTCCCCCCGTGGCCCATCTCTGTCTCCGCCTCCACCGCTTCTTCCTTCACATCAACACGCCCCTCCACAGGTGCCTTACGGAGCAAGCCTGCCACAACAGAAAGGGGCGGTGCTGATTGGTCAACATCAGCAGATGCCAGGCTTGCCACGCCATGGCTTCTCCACAACACTCATGCTCACACTGACGCCACACCCTTCACTATCACCAGCGTTGTCACCAGCACCAGCAGCAGCAGCAGCAGCAGCAGCAGCAGCAGCAGCAGCCACCAGCAGCACCAGCACCAG